CCAGCAAATCCACTACTGGGCATATACCCTGAGAAAACCATAATTCAAAAACAGTCATGTACCACAATGTTCATTGCAGCTCTATTTACAATAGCCAATAGATGGAAGCAACCTAAGTGTCCATCATTGAATGAATGGATAAAGAAGATTTGGCACATATATACAATGGAATATTACTCAGCTATAAAAAGAAACGAAATTGAGTTATTTGTAGTGAGGTGGATGGACCTAGAGTCTGTCATACAGAGTGAAATAAGTCAGAAAGGGAAAGACAAATACCGTATGCTAACATATATATATGGAATCTAAGAAAAAAAAAGGTCATGAAGAACTTAGGGGTAAGATGGGAATAAAGACACAGACCTACTAGAGAATGGACTTGAGGATATGGGGAAGGGGAAGGGGAAGGGTAAGCTGTGACAAAGTGAGAGAGTGGCATGGAGATACATACACTACCAAACATAAGATAGATAGCTAGTGGGAAGCAGCCGCATAGCACAGGTAGATCAGCTCCATGCTTTGTGACCACCTAGGGGGTGGGATATGGAGGGTGGGAGGGAGGGAGACCCAAGAGGGAAGAGATATGGGAACACATGTATATGTATAACTGATTCACTTTGTTATAAAGCAGAAACTAACACACCATTGTAAAGCAATTATACTCCAATAAAGATGTTAAAAAAAAAAAAGAGTTGCTGGTTTTGGAGAAGATCAAAAGAATTTAGATAAAGATGGCATTTAAACAAAGATGGAAATTGAAAATTTTTTTTTGATTGTGTATTCAGTAAAAACTTTAATAAACAAGAAGAAATGACAAACATTTCCAACAGGTCCAAAAAAAAACAAAAGAAAACAAAAAAAACAACAAAACGCCCAGAGTTATCAATATACTCCATAGTGGAATACTGAAAGCCTTTCCTTTGCAATCAATAAAGTCAAGAATGTACACTTTCATGACTTTAATTCAACATAGTACTGTATTGCCTAGATAAAACTATCAGACCAATAAAAAAGGGGGGCATCCAATTCAGAAAGGAGGAAGTAAACTGATCTCTATTCACAGATGATAAAATCTTACATAGAAAACCCTAAAGAATCCTCATGAATAAACAAATACAGAACTTATAAACAAATTTAGCAGAATTCAAAATATAAAATCAAACATAAAAATTAGTTGTGTTTCTATAACAGAAAAAAATCAAGAAAGATATTAAGAATATATGTACAGTGAGAGAGCGACATGGACTTATATATACTACGAAATGTAAAATAGATAGCTAGTGGGAAGCAGCCACAGAGCACAGGGAGATCAGCTCAGTGCTTTGTGATCACCTAGAGGGGTGGGCTAGGGAGGGTGGGAGGGAGACGCAAGAGGGAGGAGATATGGGGATATATGTATATGTATAGCTGATTTATTTTGTTATAAAGCAGAAACTAACACACCATTGTAATGCAATTATACTCCAATAAAGATGTTAAAAAAAGAATATATATACATTTATATTCTGTAGCGTCAAAGAGAATAAAATACTTAGGAGTTAACTTAATGAATGGGTGAAAGACTTGTATGATAAAAATTATAAAAGATTGCTGGAGGCAAATAGAGAATATATAAATAAACAAAAACACACTCCATGTTCCTGAACTGGAATACTTAATATCATTAAGCTGTCAATAGTACCCAAGGTGACCTATAGTTGCAAAGCAATCTCTATCAAAATCCCAATCAAAATTTTGACACAAATAGAAAAGCTCATTCTAAAATGTATGTGGAATATCACAAAACACTAAACGTCCAAAACATTCTAGTAGAGAAAGTGTGAAGTTGGAGGCATGACACTTCCTGATTTTTTTTTTTTTTTTTTTGTGATACGCGGGCCTCTCACTGTTGTGGCCTCTCCCACGGGCCCAGCTGCTCCGCGGCACGTGGGATCTTCCCGGACGGGGCATGAACCTATGTCCCCTGCATCGGCAGGCGGACTCTCAACCACTGCGCCACCAGGGAAGCCCCACTTCCTGATTTTTAAAACATAAAACTATAGCATTTTACAACGCTATAGTTATCAAAAAGGGTAGTACAAACATGTAGACAGAAAAAGAATAATGGAACAATAAAGAGAGCACAAATATAAGGTCTCAAGGTCATGGTCAAATAATCCTCAACAAGAGTGCCTATACCACCCAATGGGAAAAGGATAGTATCTTAAGCAAATGGCACTGGGAAAGTTGGATGTTTGAATGAAGAAGAATGAAGTTGAACTCTTACCTAACATCACTTACAAATACTATCTCAAAAGGGACTGAAGATTTAAACATAAACCTGTATCTATGTATCTCTTAGAAGAAAACAGTGGGGAAATGTCCTAAGACATTTGCTCTGGCAAAGATTTCTTGTATATGAAACCAAAAACTCAGGCAACAAAAGCAAATACAGTCAGGGTGGTCCAGTGGTGGTCCAGTGGTTACAAATCTGTCTTCCAATGCAGGGAACACGGTTTCAATCCCTAGTTGGGGAACTAAGATCCCACATGCCGTGGGGTGACTAAGCCTGCACACTGCAACTACTGAGCACGTAGGCCACAACTAGATAGCACGTGTGCTGCAACTACAGAGCTCACTTGCCACAACTACAGAGCCCATGTGCTCTGGAGCCTGTGCACCACAACTAGAGAGAAGTCCACGCGCTGCAGGGGAGGATCCTGCATGCCCCAACAAAGATCCCATGTGCCGCAGCTAAGACCCGTCAAAGCCAAAAATAAAATAAATAAAATATTTTTAAAGAAAAGCCAATGGGATTACATTACATGTAAAAACTCATGCACATTAGAGGGAACAGTCAATGGGGTGAAAAGGCATCCTGTGGAATAAGAGAAAAATTTTGCAAAGCATGTAACTCATATGGAGTTACAATCCAGAATACATAAAAAACTCCTACAACATAAAACATTATGTTTATGTTGCAACTCCTAGCAACATTAAGAAACAAATAACACAATGTATGGGCAAAGGATTAAATAGACATTAATCCAAATAAGATACACTTATGGACAACAGAAATGTGAAAGATACTAAAAATCAGTAATCATTTGAGAAATAAAAAAGAAAACAACAATGAGGTGTCACCTTACACCCAACTTGCATATATATATATATATGCAAGGATGTGGAGAAATCGGAATCCTTATGCACTAAGGAAATATAAAATGTCACAATCGCTATAAAACACAATATGGAGGTTTCTCAAAAAATTAAAAATAGAATTTCCCTCACACAACAATAATATAAATTCATCAGTAAATAGATGTGAAATTAAGACTATTTCTATAACTACTCACCAAGACAGAATAAAACAAACATTGATCATTAACTAAGAAAAGAAATAAAGTAGGTAAGCCACAAACACAGTAGGGGTAATAATTAAAAGACAAAGACATGCATAATTTTATTGGCAGTAGACATATGGGACATTCAAATTTGAATGCAACACCACACGGTCTTAGTGTACTGAGTTGAAAATTGCCATGTACATTCATGAAATATAGGTAAAGACAAAAATACAATTAACTAACTTGGGAGAACCTATCATTAAAAAAAAAGCAAATAGTTACGGAATTGCTAAACAAGAATAAGAGAAAATTTTACTCAATTTCTGAAAAATCATGTATATACTATTAAAATATAATCCTTCTAAATACTATAATTTTGAAATGGTTTATGCACGCATAAAGCAACCATTCTGAATCACTGGCATGTGTTGCAAGGCAGGAGAATTTCACAGAAAATGCATTACAATGAATCATTTAAAAATCTCTAATGGAAAATTTGAATGAATTATTTAAATAACAGCAGAGAAATTTGTCACGTTATTAATATATTACTACTATACATACACAAATTATCAAGGCTGTAACCCATACTTTAGAAGAAAAATAAAACCTTATTTATAAATAAAAGAACATGAAAGTTGTAAAATCTTCAGAGAATCATCGATATATAAAATAATAGTTGTGATCACATTATACCATGATTCAGATACACACTGAGGAAAGTAAATGAATAAGATGACTACTTTTTGGTTGGAGAAATGAACCACACATTTTCACAAATACAGGGTGCCTTCTAATTATCTAAGGCCCTTCTTACCAAAGACGTTTTCATCTGAGCATGTTATACTAGATCTTTTGAATCTAAAATCATGTATGATTTTGACACAGAACTAATGAGAAAGTGAAAAAATACAGGACACAGCAAGCATAACGCCATATTAAATAAGGCAGACTTATAAAATTACAGTTATTAGGAAACTAAACAACAATTGGGACTTTAAAATATGGTAGCCAATGTTCCAAGCGCTGCTATGGAATGAACATATTCAAGACTTCTATGAGATAAATAAACATATTAAGTTATTCTACCATTGATAGATTGGGAAAGTACACTTAAAATGTCTCACGTTAGTTCATAGAAAGTAAAAATGTCTCATGTTAGTTCATTGGAAGTAAAATGGACGATTACATTCTATAATTCTGGGAAGATGCTTGATGCTATGATGAAATGACTGAGTCTGAACTTTGTAGGGTCATGTTTGAAGTTTCCATTGGATTGGGTATTCCAAGAATTTTGTCACCTAATCCCAATATCTCCATGACTCTCCTCACACATTTCTGACTTGAGGCAGAAACAGAACTTAACATAGAGTTACTCAGAAATGTAAACAGTTTTCCCTAGAACCTCCAAAGCAACAGAAGAGCAGTCAGGTCATGAGGGTCATCACAGGCCAAGAGGAGGATTTTGGCTCTCACTGTGAAGGTGAGGGATAATCACTGGGGCTGAAGACGAATACACGGAGGATTTAAGAGCCTAAGATGGGGGCAGGAGATGCCCCTCTATGACAGCAACAGAAATAAATCTAGGCTTCGCAAAAATCATTTCCATTGAAGCATGCCTTCCCAAGCCATATTATAAGATATGACTTCCTCTGCGATCTTTGGACCTCTCACCTGTGTCATCTGCTTCATCCATTCGCACATACCTGGTTATACAGCTACTGTCTCCATTCCCTTCACATCTCAGTGATTCTTCTTTTCCTCCAAAAAGGGGACCTGTTAATTAGAAAAATGAACATAAGTTTTCCTGGAGATCCTACAGTTTCCAATCCAGTATTGAGCTTAGATGAGAAGAAAAGGTATTGTAGAATGTTAAAATATTCTAGAAATCGACTTCCCCAATTACCGGTCTTTTGAAAGCTCCTTTATTGTAGTAGACAACAGTTAAAAAATCAGATCCTGAGATTCTGACCAAGATCTATTAAGTAAAAAATAAAGGGTAAAAGTCTGATTTTAAGATGTGGGCAGCACTATCTTATAGCACTGAACTTACAGAATTACCACTAATCTAGTGAAGGATGAAGATTACCTCAAGAAAGAAGGTTGGAATTATGATGAATCATCATGCAGCCTTTCTGTCTATACCCACAAACTCCCATTTTTTCCTTGAAAGCAGGGATCTGAAACTCTATTGCAGGACACAGAAGATTCCAGGAGACTTTCTACAAATGAAGGAACCAAAACCCTGTGTACGGATAAGGAATTCTGGAAGGAAGTTATCCACACCCAAGGAGACCAGGTTCCTATAGTTCTCTAACATCACATTCTTATGAACAAGATCAGGCATTCCCACTCATCCTGAGAAAATTCTATGGCCACATATGTGAATGTCAACAGTCCCTGAGATTAAAGAGTACATTTGCCAAGTGGCAATGGGAAGAGTTCATTATTTGACCCAAGATGAAAACAGCAAGTTAAGAGAACTGGTTTGATTTAGGACAGAGTCTTGAATTATGCAATAAAATAATTTTTTTTACACAGAAATGTTCTGTATCATATTTCTAACTCCAAGAAAAGAGGATGACATATGATTCATGACACCACTGTAGAGACTATTATTATTATCATGACACCACTGTAGAGACTCTACACCACTGTAGAGACTATGGCATCAACACAGGCATATGCATTTTTGAATGTTGTACTTTCATTACACAGGATAAACTGTATATATTTCTCAGGTGGAAAAGTCATAATGAGTTAGAAGTAAAACTGTCATATTTTAATATGTAAGAAAGCAAACTGGGGATAATGTAAAAATGCAGATTTTTGACTCAAGAGATCTGGAGTGGAGCCTGAGTTCCACATTTTTAACAAGCTCACTTTTAACTAGTAATGCCAATGTCTCTGGTCCATGTACCACATATTTTGATACCATAACAGTAGAACAGCATGGTAACAATCTATGGTTAACTTTGAACTTAAAGTGTTTAATGGATTTTGCAGGTCTAATAGAATAGTAAGCATACCAGCAACAATTCTTTTTCAATATTTATGATATATAATATAGCTTTCTACCTTTTTTAACATATTATTGAATGCACCACATAAATAATTGAAGAAACATGTTACTCTTCCTTTTTTTGAGAATATTTTGTCAAACATCCATAAAATGGTAGAGCTTGGGTTTCACTCCAGTTTACTTGAACTAGAATTCATCTAAAAAGAACACAGACAAATACACAGACAATCCTACTCAAAGTTTATAGCAGTTTCCATAACTGGGAAGAGCAACAGAAACAATAAAAAAGGATCAGACAATGTTAACATATCGTGCACACAGTTATACATAAAAAGAGCAACTTTGTACATATTTAAAGAGATAGAGTATGTGGAGTCCAAACTACAACACAAATGAATATGTCTACAACAACAGAAACAGACTCACAGACACAGAGAACAGACTTGTGGTTGCCAAGGGGGAGGGTATTTGGGGGAGGGAGTTTGGGATTAGCAGATGCAAACTAGTATATATAGGAAGGATAAACAACAAGGTCCTACTGTATAGCACAGGGAACTGCATTCAATATCCTGTGATAAATCATAATGGAAAAGAATATGAACAAGAATATATATATCTATAAATGAGTCACTTTGCTACACTGCAGAAATTAACACAATATTGTAAATCAACTATACTTCAATAAAATTTAAAAACATAAACGTGACAGAGAAGAAAATATACATGTCAATGAAATCAAAATTTTTACTTAGATAAATCTTATAAATCTGTGGAGGATAATCTTTGTATTTTAAAAATACACTAGGGTGCAAACATACATAGTGATATAAAATAAATTAGAGCTATTGGTTTAAATCTTTTCATTCCTTTAAGATCTTTATAGTTTGTGCTGAGCTATATATTAGAAATTTGACACCATTAATGTAATATGATGCTTGGAAACTTTCCGGAGAATGCAAAGGAGTGATAAAAAAAAAAAGAGTATGTCCGCGACATGAGTGTGGAGTATAATGGAAACTGACAAAACCTTGACTGATGAAAAGGCTTGAAGAAAACCTTCACTTAAGGGCTTCCCTGCTGGCACAGTGGTTGAGAGTTCGCCTGCCAATGCAGAGGACACGGGTTCGTGCCCTGGTCCGAGAAGATCCCACATGCCGCGGAGTGGCTGGGCTCGTGAGCCATGGCCACTGAGCCTCGGCGTCTAGAGCCGGCGCGTCCAGAGCCTGTGCTCCGTAACGGGAGAGGCCACAACAGTGAGAGGCCTGTGTATCGCAAGAAAAAAAAAAAAAAAAAAAAAACCTTCACTTACAAAACCCAGTATCTCTAATAAGTAAAGTTGAATTTTTATATTTCAAAGCCAACTGCAAACAAAGAGAAACTAAAAAGAAATGGAGTTTCTACATTAACTGGAATGGTTTATACATTTCCCTCATTAAATCTTTCCAAGACTGTTATTAAGGCTAAAAAAATTTTGAACTTCATAGTGCAGGAAATTGGCAGAAAGTACCTGAATCAGTGAACCTCAGGCGTAATGGGATAAATTGGTATCAGGTGACTGAAGCACGCAGCAGGACACATTATCACTGCTTAGGTATTTTGGGCAAAAATAAGGAAATCAGAATCTACCAGGGGAAAATATGAGTTTTATGCAAATTCCAATCCATATGTACCTCCCTTGTTCTGTATCCCTAACAGTGCATTTAAATAGTAAGTTTTTCTTACAAATAGTCTAATGTTTTCTTCAGAACTTTGAGGAATTCTGGACCACTAAAGTCAACCTGTTTATATGTGCATTTCCTTAATCCTGTTCTAAAGAGCTGATGTTGCATCCATATATCAACTAAACACTTCACTCTTCTCTTCTTCACTAAGATCCCCAGATCCAGCCCCACCCCAGTGGGAAGCTTGGCTACCAATGCCTTCCCGTGTTGATCTCTCACAAAGAGCTCTCAGTAGCTGAAAGTCATTAATTCTTGGTGAGAATTCTTCAGGCTCTGCAGGGAGCCTTGATGCAGACACCTGAGAAAAGGCTCTGGGACATGAGGGAGAAGTATTCTAAAGCACTGATTTTGACTATAATAAAAGGAAAAAAAATTAAGTAGTTGAAAATGACCACACTAGGCAACATCAGAAGTAGAGAATTAAAGGTTTGTAAGTTCTTAGCCCATGATATTTCAGGAGGAAAAGCAGACACAGCCTCTGATATAGGACTGGATATTTACCTGAGAAACTGCCGTTTCCTCCTTTCTCCTCCTGTGCTGGGTCCTTTTCTCATCAATATTATGTTGAGGAATCACACCAGCATCTTGAGAATATGCCGTCAACGGTGTCAGCACAGCTCCTTCACCTGCTCCCAGCACAGCCACAGGCAGAAGGACCTTGAAATGCTGAAAAAGCCAACCTCTCCTGTCCTTTGTCTCGGGAGAGACTGGGGAACAATCAGCTCCTACAAGGAAAACAAACTGAGGTTTTTCTTTGTTGTCTACACGTGTTCTCTCCTCATACAGACAACCAAAAATTCTTCTAACACAGAATATGTGGGCTGCACTGACATTCCCCTTCCAACCCCACGTACAGGCGACCCCGCTGCCTCTCCCAGGACTGAAGCTTTGTCTGAACTCTCACAAATGTAGCCGGGAGCCGACGTATTTCACCCAGGCGTCACCTTAGAATCACCTGGAGCACGTAATACAAACAACGCTGACGCTCCCACAGCACCAATAGCCAGACGCTGTGGGGAGGGCACAGGTGATGTGATTTATTGATATTGGTCATGTGATTCCGCTGGGAAACCAGATAAGAATCACTTAGCTAAACGTTTTCTCTGAAGCTTTAAAGTGAATACAAATCTTTTGGGGCTCAGCTCCCCAATCTAAGAAGTTATGAATCAGCAGGTTTGAGGTGAACCCATGAAATGACATGTTTAACAAGTTCTCTGTTGGTGCTGATGTTACTACCTACAAGACCTGTTTTCCATAGCACTGAGCTATAGAGAGATCACACACAGCACACCTGAGACCTCTGAGTAGGGTGAGCAATTTGGGGCTGTAATTTCTAGAAGCACTGGCTCTGTCAGCCTGATATCCTGGGGATGGGGCCTTTTTTGTTATGGGCATGGCCCTGTCATAGCCTAGTTCATATGCCCTTGGGGAAGGGGAGGTGAGTGATTGACAGGAATCACACGATGACATTGGGATTGTGTGAGACTTTCCTCTCAGAATTCTCTCAAAAGTTACCCTGAGTCCTTAGGTCCTTTCACCCCCTCCTCTCCCTGGGGCCACATGCATTCACAAAATGATTTGCAGCGACCTCCTATCTGTAGGTGAGAGAGCCTCCGTCTTCAGAGAGGAGGTGCATGAAGGTGTTTACATCACAGCTTTCTTTGAAAATAAACCAAAGGCAGCAATGGAGGATGGATTAAAATGTTGGAAAGCGACAAAAGCCTTTGGAAATGATGTCATAAATGTGTATTTGATGATACACAAAGGAAGTAATGGTCAATATTAAGTAATAATGCACATTATAACTGAATTAACAGATGATTTTTTTTGGTGTTTTCGCCCTATCGTATGTGTGTTTCTATGTTCTAAGCAAGGCTATAGAACATAAATAGAACATGGCTATGTTCTATTGCATGGCTATAGTTTGTTCTCTCCCCACTCCTTACATAATACTTATATTTTATCACATCTATAAAGTGCATTAATTGAGATAAAAATAAAACAAGGGAAACATGTCCACTTTCTAAATATTATTTGAGAGCATTAAATATTTTGAAATATCCTATTAAGTGTGCATGCACCCATACCAATGTATTTTTTTTTTAAGTTGAAAGAGTTTTTTTTTTTTTTTTTGCAGTACGCGGGCTTCTCACTGCTGTGGCCTCTCCCGTTGCGGAGCACAGGCTCCAGACGCGCAGGCTCAGCGGCCATGGCTCACAGGCCTAGCCGCCCCGTGGCATGTGGGATCCTCCCAGACCGGGGCATGAACCCATGTCCCCTGCATCGGCAGATGGACCCCCAACCACCGCGCCACAAGGGAAGCCCTAAAGAGCTTTTTTAGAGAAGGTTTAGTTTCACAGCAAAATTGGGAGTAAGGTACAGAAATCTCAATATACTTCTTATTCCCACACATGCGTAACCTCCCTCATTACCATCATCCTCCACCAGAGTGGTACATTTGTTACCATTGATGAATCTATATTGACATCATAAGTAATTAAAGTCCATAGATTACCTTATAGTTCACTTCTAGGATTGTGCAATTTGTGACATTGGAGAAATATATAATGACATGTATCCATCATTACAGTTTTCAACCTTTTT